TGTAAATCACTTTAAAGAAACTAACACCAAGTATTAAATAAATTACATTTTATTTAAAAACAATTTGGTTTTAAAGATCCAGCCTTTGGGTAACAGACTGTCTGCTTTGATCGCATCCTGTCGGTAACGATAACTGTAATTTCGCCTAAAATCCGCCAGGATACGTAATACCTGTCATTTGTTGGTTAGTGTGCTAGAGTTAGTGTTTATATGTCATTCAAACCAGGTAAGTTTTTCTGTTTATGCCTTAAAAAAAATATATTTAGGCTTGTTTGCATAAAAACGCTACCGTATTTTTTTACGATGTCTAATCGGTAACTGTTCTAGCGGTAAAATTTTGATGTCGATATGAGATTTGTTATATTTTTCTGATGTACACCAATATTTGCAATTTTGATTTTAATGGTATTTACTATAAGTATTTTTTTAAACATATATTTTGATTATTATTCCATTTACAGAACCTTTATTCCCGACAAACTATACTGTTACCGACTAGACATAATTGAGATCAGAAGACAACAATTATCAACATAACAAAAAAACTACCTTTCCTTGATCTCAAAGATTAGCTTTATTATGTTGCGAAATCTTTATTTTAGAATATTAAAAAGTTTAATGGGCAAAAAGCAACATTTTAGTTTTTTAATTGTTGTAGGTCGTTTTCCAAAGATTTTTTGATTTTCACCCTTATACGTTTATTTTACAGACTATAAGGTAAAAAACTTCACCCGATTGGTCTAAATTATTTTTACAGTCTAGGAGGTTTTTTGATTGAAAATAAAATATTGAATGCCATGCCGCTGAAAAGTAGTGTCTTTTGTGCCTCGCTCCATTTTCAAATATTGAGATCAGCACAAAATACTTTTTTAGCCTAACGACATAAATAACTATTATCAGGTATGAAATTTTAATTTGCTTAATGTTGGTAACTAGACAAAACGAAATTTTTTTCCAAATTTATAATAGTTTATAATGACATTAAATAGACAAGTTCGGCTCAAACAGAATTTAAATTGAAGTTTGCGAAAAAAAGTTAGTTTTTTCCTGTCGCCTCACCCGCCTCCAGGCCCCCTATTTAAGATAATTCAAATTAAAGTGGTGCAATTAATTATCTACAATAATTTATCGACAAATTTAAAATTTTATTTAAAAAATCCAAATATTACAGACTTTATTCGATTTTAAACTTTTATTATTTATTTTATTAAAATAAAAAAATATTTAAAATGTTATAAAACCTGTAATATTTGGATGTTTTAAATAAAATTTTAAAATTATCGATAAATTATAGTAGATAATAAATTGCACCACTTTAATTTGAATTATCTCAAATAGGGGGGCCTGGAGGCGGGTGAGGCGACAGGAAAAACTAACTTTTTTCGCAAACTTCAATTTAAATTCTGTTTGCGCCGAACTTGTTTATTTAATGTCATTATAAACTATTATAAATTTGGTGTGGGTCCCATGTCTAATAACTGAGATATTGCAATACATAAAATCCACCAGCCGCCACTGATTAAATTGTTTTATACACCGAAAAAAATAATGTAGTTGAGTTAACGTTTGCCTAAATGTCATTTTTGAAAATGTTGTTTTATCAAAAAACCTATTGCATTAATCTATATTTTGGTGTCAAAGCAATAGTCAGAGTTTGTCAAAGTTTATTTGTTCATTTGACAGTTAAAATATTGATTTAACATAAAGTAATTTTTTCAAATCAAATACGGAAATTTTTAGGATTACCTAAAAAAACTATTAAATTAACGTTTAGTTGCTCTTTAAATCCAAAACAATAAATTTGTTCATTTAACTAATTGTAAATCTTACTTTAAAATTTGTTAATTTTGCATTCATAAAATTGCCGTGAAGTGCGCTTCGAACACCCACGCGTGAGCTTATATGGCCACGCCACGTCATTAGACGGTGTTGATCACGTGATGTTGTTACATCTCGCCTCAGTTGGTTTATGATAGGAGTATATAAGCTCAGGTAGCTGTTTGTTTTGGGTGTGTTATACAATTATTTCTCTTTATATTAATTCCATAATTTTGTTTTGAATTACCAACCTTTAAAGAATGTTACTTTTACATTTTCAGAATCTTAACCCAACCCAATTAACCCAACATTAGCCCAAAGTATTATTGTTCATTTGACTAATATTTGTTGTTCGATTAAACAATACAAGTTGACATTTTTAGATGGTTAAGTAAACGTGCAAAAACCATTGCTTGTATTTAAAGTGCATAAAGAGTTTAATTAATATTTTTGTTGTTGTTTCAACAGCTTATTTTTTCAGTGTACCTTATGCTTTTAACCAAATACCGAAACAATCCAAGAATCATTATTATAATGATTATAATCATTATAAATCATATAAAACAAAAAATTTATCATGTTAAGGACTATAAAACTGGTTAGAACTCTTACAAAAGTCCATCAAGAAAACTCATCTATTCGGAAATATACATTTGGACATATCTCTCACATAAATTTATTTTGCCGCGTCCATTGAAATAAACTTTTTCATAAACAGGATCCATCATTTAGTCGTTTTGACCCAGTTCAGATGGATTTGCGTTTTCTCTCTCTCCATACGGAAAAATGGAAAACACATCCCGACAAACAAAACTTGGAAAAGGGATCGATCAATGTTCATGATGACATATCGCGAACACATATCTTCCATTAGAATGCAAGGAAAATTCGTCTCGAACTTTAAATTAGTCAGTATTTTTCGACGATGTAATAGGGGAATTGGGTCACAATTGGAAAACAACATCTTCTTGAATTATGGTTATTTATCTAATGTGCCAAATTTATTTCAATTTTATGCACTCAGAAATATACATATAGTGGTTTTTTAAACAAAAATTTATACAAAATAGAATTTTTTTTTATTTAATACACGGAGAAAACTGTTTTGTACACTGAAAAAATAAGCTGTTGAAACAACAACAAAGATATTAATTCAACTCTTTATGCACTTTAAATACAAGCAATGGTTACGGGCACGTTTACTTAACCATCTAAAAATGTCAAATTGTATAGTTTAATTGAATAACAAATATTAGTCAAATGAACAAAATGAGAATATTTGTTCTAATCTGCTAATCTGGTTAATTAAACATTCTTGATATGTCGGAGTAATATTTCGAAAATGGTTGTGCTAACATTTTTAAGATGTTAAGGTAAATTTCTTAAAATGTCCAGGTAACCTTTTAGCATATTCACTTAACACCAATAAAATGTTAAATTAAAATAATTTGCGCTAATGTTGGGTTATTTAAATTATGAAATTAATATAAAGAGAAAGAATTAAACCTTCCCTCGCCAAAGTTTTTGTTTTGAGTGCGTTCCACCTACTTCAAATACCTACCGACAGACAGTTGATTCGACCTATATTGAGGGTCTGATCAGTGTCGGGCAATTTAGTGTAGTGGAAGTTCCACTGTGGAACACACCCAAAACAAACGGCTACCTGAGCTTATATACTCCTATCGTAAGCCAACTGAGGCGAGATGTAAGAACATCACGTGATCAACACCGTCTAATGACGTGGCGTGGGTGTTCGAAGCGCCCTTCACGGCAATTTTATGAATGCAAAATTAACAAATTTTAAAGTAACATTTACAATTTTTTAAATGAACAAATTTAATATTTCGATTTTAAGAGCAACTAAACGTTAATTTAATAGTTTTTTTTAGGTAATCCTAAAAATTTCAGTATTCAACCAATTCAAGCCATTAAATCAAAATAGGATAAACATTTTAATTCAAAAAATTTGTTTATGTTAAATCAATATTTTAACTGTCAAATGAACAAATAAACTTTAAAAAAACTCTGACTATTGCTTTGACACCAAAATATATATTAATCCAATAGGTTTTTTGATGAAACAACATTTTCAAAATGAAATTTAGGCAAACGTTAACTCAACTACATTAGTTTTTTCGGTGTTATTGTTACTAAAAAATAAAGGAAATTGGGGACAGCTTGTGTGTTTAGTAATGATTCCCAAACTCTTGGGTTTAAACCCAGATATCATTACTAAACAGTTATATCCGTGTACTTTAGTTAATAACACGTGATTGGAATTTTAGGTTTTTTATTAAGTAATTGTTTTAATTAGCATTAATTTTAATATATTTAATTTGAGGTAAGTAAAATAAAAGCAATATAAAAAAGTTTACGAGTTCTACCAAGAGATTTTATTTGTAGGGACAAATGAATTTCGTCGTCATTTCCTTGTCTTCAGTCAAATTCTTACCCTAAATTTATTGTATACAATATATTAACAAATTTTAATTAAAATATCCTAAAGAGCATAAATTGCTCGCAGATCGAGTGAATCAGAACAGAAACAGATAAATAATTGGTGAGTGGTACAAGCCTGTCGAAAAATGTGTGTCGAGAGAGGAAATTTATGTGTCGGTATGTGGGTTAACTCGGATTCTCGTTATATTTGTTTTGGTCTTCGATATACGACTTACATCCCAATTTTTATGCTAATATGAGTTCTTAACTTTCAAGTTATTACTTCATAAACAACGGTCAAATGTCAAATGATAATTTTCATGATAGTTATTTAATTTCCATATTTTTCATAAAATCGACAGGGTTTATTTTTAAACCAACAGTGAGTAATCGATGAAAAAATACTAAAACTTTTTGTGGACATTCAAATCTACTATCAAAATACATTTTGCAGTGAAATTCAAAACGTTTTCTTTTTGTTGACTAGATCATCTCTGTTGAATGCTAATAATAGAAATGGCTAGCAATAGTTAATTAAGCATGTGGCGTGAATCGCAGTGACCTTGCCAAACTGACATTAACGAACGCTTGCTTGATCAAAAATGTTGATGTGAAAATTTGGAATCAATAACACAAACCAATTTCCTGTTTTATTATATAATTAATGTTTGTAGTCATCGTGATAGTTTTAACTCTTTTTTGTAAATTTTCTTTATTTAATAAAGTACATTTAGGTCTCTTACCGTGACTAAACTTGCTGGTAGGCAACAGGCCTGTATTAAGCATCGACAGCTTGATAGTGTTGGGAATGGACACAAAGGAATTGGCAGCACTGATGTGACGTTTTTTCTTCGGTTTCACATCATCGTTGTGCCTGGGAGTTGAGCGGGACCGATGTTTTTTACGTATTGTACCAGTGCTAGAGTTTTTAGTGTCTTCACTGGACATTTTTAATATGAAGCCCTTCACCAAGTCTGAAACAAAATAAAAATATGATAATTTAAAATCTTTCTCCTTTCTCCTGTTCAAGAAATCTTTAGTTGAAATCTACGGGTTTTGGTTTTGGTAAAAATTTGATTTTTCGTTAAGATAATAAATTTTAATTTACAATTTCTCAAAGAAAAGAAAATAAATTGAAACAATTAAAAAAGAAGAGGAAAACTAGTACTTTTAGATGACTTAACGATTGTTTTAAAACGCGGTTTAGAATTTCTAAGAATTTTCTGAATTCAACACAGAAAAATAAAAATAAAACGTTTTTTCTACTCCCATTACGAAATATGACCGTTCTAATTTCACTTTTTAATGTGGAATTGCATATTTTCCATAAAGTATTACAGAATGAATTATTCTATCATCGGATGACGGAATAAACTTTTAACTTAAGCAGGATATTCCAAACTTGTTACAGAATATACTATTCTCTTAGTGCAGGAAATACAAGTGTTTAATTAAGAAAACGCAGAATAGTTTCAATAATTATTTTAATTAAACATGTCACTTTGCAGTGCATGGTAAAACGGTAGTGCATAGTAGTATACTACTATGCACTATTAGGGTGGTTCTTATTTGACCGATTTCAAAATTTTAATCGTGCCGCCCCCTCATTTGTTTTAAAAAAATATAAAAAAAATTATGCCAAAATTTGAATGTCCTAACTTATTTCCTTCTATTGCCTGTATACAGGCATAACAACGAGAAGTTTTCCAGATAGAGGATTTTTGCCTTTAATGTATTAATTTTTTTAAATTACTATTAATTTATAAAAAAGTATAATTTTTTGAGAAAATGTAGAGGAAATAAGTTACTTTAAAACAAAAAAAAAACAAAAAAGGTCTTTTTTACTTCGCTCGATTATTACTTACAGTTTTTCATATAAGGGATTTTTGCTTTAAAACGCAATAATTTTATAAAATCAATAATAAATAATGAACAATTCTAATTTTTTGAGGAAATGAAGGGAAAATATGATAGTTTTAAACAAAAAAAAGAATTAATGTATGTCCATAGTAAGCTCTGTTTTATTGAAAATGGCATACAAAACAAAATATCAGTGATAATTTGCATTTAAGGCATAATTAGTGTGGTTTGAAACGTAATTTTGTACTTTTCTAATGTTGGTGCTACCTAAATATTTGTTTTATAAAACAAATAATAATTATTTGTTTTATAAAACAAATAATTTAAGATTAAGATAAATTATTTAAGATTGCCTAAAAGATATTAAGGAAGCACCAATATTACAAAAGTACAAAATTACAATTACGTAGATAATGAAATTGATTTTTAGATTGTTATCGAACAATTTATTTTATAAAGAAAGTAACATAGTTAAAATGGCAAAAAAATAAACAAAATAAAACCCAGATAATTAGGTTTTTGGTATTTTAAAAATTGTTTACAACAGTCTTTTTTTTGCTTTTTAAAACTCTGACACAAGCTGTACAATAATATATTATAACACCAGCAAGAAGATTCTTTCAGCGATGGAATATCGATGACACTTTTTTGAAAACCGATCCGACTATGTGGTCTCAGGACAAAAATTATAAAACGGTTTAAAAACTGTAACTCAGCTGAGAATCGTTAACGATTCTGCCGAAAGAGCTGTGCATTTATTTACGAGTATAACTCCATCATAACACACAAAGAAGACCAGAAACAATTTGTTGTACAGCTTGTGTCAGAGTTTTGAAAATCATTTCCCGACGCAAAAAAAGACTGTTGTTAACAATTTTTAAAATACCAAAAACCTAATTATCTGTGTTTTATTTTGTTTATTTTTTTGCCATTTTAACTATGTTACTTTCTTTAAAAATAAATTGTTCGAAAACAATCTAAAAATCAATTTCATTATTTACATAATTGTTATTTTGTACTTTTCTAATGTTGGTGCTCCCTAAATATCTTTTAGGTATCTTAAACTATTCGTTTTATAAAACAAATAATTTAAGATTGCCTAAAAGATATTTAGATAGCATCAATATTAGAAAAGTACAAAATTACGTTTCAAAGCACACTAATTATGCATTAAATGCAAATTATCACTGATATTTTGTTTTTTATGCCATTTTCAATAAAATATAATAGTAATAGTAATAATTGAGCGAAGTAAAAAAGACCTTTCGATTGACATACATGAATTCTTTTTTTTTTGTTTAAAAGTACCATATTTTCCCTTCATTTCCTCAAAAAATTAGAATTGTTTATTAATTAATAATGATTTTATCAAATTATTGCGTTTTAAAGCAAAAATCCCCTATTTGAAAAACTGTAAGTAATAATCGATCGAAGTAAAAAACACCTTAGGATGAAAATACATGATTTCTTTTTTTTTTGTTTAAAAGTAAAATAGGTTCTCTACATTTTTTTTAAAAATTATACTTTTTCATAGATTAATAGTAATTTTAAAAAAATAATACATTAAAAGCAAAAATCCTCTATCTGGAAAACATCTCGTTGTTACAGGCAATAGAAGGAAATAAGTTATGACATTCAAATTTGGCATACATTTTTTTAATATTTTTTAAAAACAAATGAGGGGGCGGCACGATTAAAATTTCGACATCGGTCAAATAAGAACCACCCTAATGCACTATAAAATAGCTTGAATATGAATATAGAATTATTGACATACTTGTATTTATCATAAATTGTATGCTTTCAATATACAAAACAAACAATGTGTTTTATTAGTTTTATATAGGGGTAATAAATTTTGTATGGGTTTATCTAAAATGTCGTCAATAACTTTAATATAGGCGTTGTTTACCAATAATGATTATAAAGCCTGTAACAAGTATCATTTTGAATTTTTTGGACCCATGTTGGATATGACTGCTATTGCTTAAAAATGGAATTTATCAGGGTCCTATAACATACGCACCAAAGTCCAATATTTTTCATTAGCATCTCGATGACATTAAGTCTAGTCCAGTTGAAATAATTAAGTAAAAATATCATATATGATGCCCATTTTACTACACTGTTCAAAATCAAGCCTTTTGAAATACCTAATCAGAATTAGTTAAGGAAAAATAAGGTAATATGCTTAAACGAGTAAAGCAATTTACCTTCTCGTTTATTAGGCAGAAACGAATGCCTTAGTTCTATGGTGTATTCACTAACTTCTAGATAAATATTCATACTTTACTTAATAAACTTGTCAAATTTAAAAAGATAGGCAGATTACCTAAATATTTAGTCAAAATCTCAATTACTTTTAGGTACGACAATTTTGCTTTTAATTTAGGTAATTCTTCTAAATTATTATGGCAAATTATTGAACTAATTTAGGTAAATTCCTTTAAATATTAGTGACTTACTTGCAATCGGCTACGATCGCTAATACCGACGTTTTAAGATAAATATTCGCGCCTATATTGTCCACCATAATGCCAAAATCAACGAAAGCCTAAAGACCGCGTTGTGTGCTATTGATATAACAACATAGTTAACAATTATTGTGATATAAGTTAACATTTTGTAGTGCTATAGTTAAGTTATCCAAACTAAATGGAATTTCCCATTGACCCCAATTTATTTTTAAATAATCCCAACCCTGCAGGGTTCCGGTACTACATGTAGTACCGGAACCGCGCAGTTTTTAATTCGCCTAGGACACAAAGATAAAGGAGTCCTAACTTAGAAGAAAATTCCTATGCTAGGATTTTCACTAAAATATATATAATTTGCCTGAAAACTTAGCTAAAATCTACCTAAAAATTTAAGCAAATTGCCTTAGAAACAGGAAATTTATTCTTTTATTCTCAGGCAATATCCCTTACGATCTAAGGTGTATTATCTTTGAAACCTAAGTAATTTTGCTTAATTAATTGTATCATTTTCTTTAAAAATATCAGTTAAAGAATTTACTAATTTAATATATTCCTCTGAATTCATTTTAAGCAGTTTGCCTTAAAAAATCAATGGTCCTATATAGTCTAATATTTTAGGTAAAAATTAGCTAAAATTTTGAACAGTGTATGTACCGGTGGCGGATTCAGGTGCACCTGATACCATGGGATACAAAATGTACAAATAATCAAAAAATAAAAGTCGCCCCTAATTAAACGTATATATTAGGAAAATCAAGAATATGAAAAACTACGACATAAGAAATGTGTTTGAGAGCTCAGGAAACTGTGTTGGATTATTTTTGTCCATAGGCAAAGAATATACTGCAACTGTTCTTCGACCTTCGTCAGTGTATTTTTGAATAAGATTGATTCCCCTTTCGGGAGTATCATTAACAACACGAAATTTTAAGATAATCGGATCTTAAGATAATTATGATTAATTTTAAGGTGGTACTGGGAAATTCTTCACTTTCCCTTCAAAGAGGAGCTAGTTCTTTTAGTAATAAGATTGTCTAATGTGAGATCATTTTCCTTAGTTACATTAATGCGACGTAATCATACAATTTTGGTCTACAAACGTAATCATACAATTTTTGTCTACAAAAACTAAAATAATAATGGTTAAGAATGCACTCTTTAATTAAAAAATGCAAATAAACAAGAATAACTTTTTAGGATACCTTAGAGCTGAATATTATTATAGGAAGCTCAAGTTGCAAGTGGAGCTTTATTTCAATATTTCACATAAACCAAGCTTACAAATAGAGCTAAACATTCGAAATTCTTTGTCTCTTTAGTTGTTAAAGGAAACTGATTTCGGAAATAGTATATCTTTAGGACATAAATAGTTTTTGACATCCATCAAGCATGATGTGTAGGGCCAGGATGGCATTTTATAATCTTATAATCATATCGTGGTTGCTGTTTTTCTAAGCAATTATTTTCTTAAACTATTAAAGGATTCTAAAACATGCTAATATCAGCTGTACTATCTGTGGTTTAATCAATAGTTGGTAACGCTTTCTGGGAGTGATTGAAAAGTCCAGCTTTTAGAACGTTAGAAGAGCCAAACAAACAAACAAACAAACAAACAAACAACTCCATGGAGCATGAAA